GACCACTAATGATTGCGGTGATTTTATTGGTATTACTTGGCTACAGTGGTTACATTTTAACCTACTCAATATCAGCATGTTTTATCAATTCCCAAAAAATTTTGCAATAAATATGATCACCTTGGGGTGCCTACCTTCCAAATTGGGGCATTTTTAAAGGAAAACCCAAATGTGATAGTCATAACATCAGGTTTTTTGTTTTCTAAATGTTTAGTCTTTTTTTCTTTTTATAGTAAAAAACTGTGATTATTAACCACTTGAAGTTTTACCCCCCTTCATGACCAGGCCATTGTTTGCTACACGGCACTGTGCTGCTTTAACTGACAAATACGCGGTCATGCAATGCTGTACACAAATAAATTTATGATTTTTTTTTCACACAAATAAAGCTTTCTTTTGGGGGTGTTTGATCACCACTGGGTTTTTTATTTTTTTGCCCTATAAACAAAACAAGACCAAATAAAAAAAAAAATACATTTTTTTTTGCCTTTTATCCAATAGAAAAAACCCCAAAAACTTCATAATAGGCCAATATGTATTCTGCTACATATCTTTGGTAAATGAAAATACTAATAAGTACCATATTTTCCGGTGTATAAGATGACTGGGTGTATAAGACGACCCCCTAATTTTCCAGTTAAAACATAGGTTTTGGGCTATACTCGCCATATAAGACTATCCCCCTTCTGAGGCAACACCATTTAAAAACATCAGATTTTTTAGTTGAAATGGTTATGACTTAGGGCTCGTTCACACTAGGCTGTTTTGCCAACGCTTGCCAAACGCCCCTATAGCGTTTGGCAATCGTTGGTCCGGCGTTTGCGGAGCATTATTAACGCTCGGCAAACGCTCCGCAAACGGCGTATGCGCGGTTTAGCGGCGGTTGCTAGGCGTTTGCCGAGCGTTAATAACGCCCCCCACAAACGCCTATAATGCAGTTTGAATGGTGTTACCGCTCCGCAAACGCCCCGCAACCGCGTCGCAACCGCACCGCAAACGCCGGCCGGGCATTTGCGGAGCGGCACCATAGACGAGAATAGGAGGCTTCAAAGCCTCCTGACTCGTCCAGAGGCGTCCGTTTTGCCGCGACGCGACGCAAACGCTCCTGTTAGAACAGCACCATGTGCTGTAATGTGCAGAATTGGCAGAGGCGTTTGGGAAGCGGTAAAAACGCTTCCCAAACGCCTCTCTGCCGCCTGCACACAAGGCTAGTGTGAACGTAGCCTTACCGGTACTTAAAATCCATCAAAATCCTCATGTTCATCCTCTGACATCATAAGTTCATGAATGACATCTTGTAATACATTTGTAAGACAGTCATCATATGGATCAAATTCCAAATCAGATGGTTACCGCTGGATGTGCGGTAATACGGTAGCTTCGGCTACATACAGTATATATACAGCCCGCTGGATGTGCAGTAATGTACGTACAATATACCGCGCTGAGCCAAGCTGGCTCAAAACAAATGTCCCTATAACAGATTAATCTGTCAGTCCGCTGGATGTGTGGTATATACAGTATACTGAGTATATACCACTGTGGTATATACAGTATACTGAGCCAAGCTGTTTCAAAATGTACCAGTACGTCCCTACTGTAATCAGCCCGCTGGATGTGTGTATGTACGGTAGCTGCGGCTACATACAGTATACACTGGGCCAATCACAGTGAGCGATGTATTCTACTAATGAATACAAAGCCTGCTCAGATTAGCTGAGGTTGTGACATCATCAGCCCACCTCTCTGACTCAGCCAATCCGAGCAGGCTTTGAAACCGCTTGGCTCAGCGCAGTATACTGTATATACCGCACATCCAGCGGGCTGACAGATTAATCTGTCATGGGGACATTTGTTTTGAGCCAGCTTGGCTCAGCACGGTATACTGTATGTACAGTATTACCACACATCCAGCCAGCTTGACAAACTCAAGGTTCACATTTTATACCCCGCGTATAAGATGACCCCCAATTTTTGGGGTATATTTTTAAGTATAAAAAGTAGTCTTATACGCCAGAAAATACTGTATATATTAATTGGTTTTCATGAAAATTATAGGATCTACAAACAATGGTATAGAATAGATATTGGAATTTTTTTTTTTTAATACTAGTAATGGCGGTGATCAGCGACTTAGAGCAGGACTGTAATAGTACAGCGGGCATTCTGACACTGGGTGGGAACTAACTGCCACTGACATCTCCAGTGACACTAATACAGTGATCAGTGCTAATAGAAACCACTGTCACTGTACTAATGACACTGGACAGGAAGGGGTTAACATCTCGGGCAATCAAAGGGTTAACTGTGTGCTAGGGAGTGTTATTACTGTATACTGTGGTGTTTTACTAACGGCACTTCCCCACTGACAGGAGAGAGATTTGTGTTGTTTACATACATAGATCTCTCGCCTGTCACTCTCTCAACCCGTTTGCTGGGTTCTGGCCATGAATCACTGGCTGGGACCCGGTGAGTAACATGTAAGGAAGCCAATGATAGCGTGGGTTGGTGGACGTGCACGCGCCCCCCTCTTCCAGAAAAAGCAGAAACATGCAGTAAAGCTACATGGGCCAGCCAAAAAGTGGTTAAATACTACCAAAAGAAAGCTCTATCTGTCTCATAAATGAAATAAAAATCATTTGAGTACAGTGTTGCATGACCGAGTAATTGTCCATCAAACTATCAATAGCCTTTTAAATGATTGCCATCAAACATCACAACAGCTTTACTTTCTGCAGCCTTGAAGATTTCTCTAGCTAAAGTCAACCTATGTTGAATAATTAACCATAACAAGACCGAATTACACTCTTGGAGCAAATGTAGTTGCAAGTTCCTACCACTGCTGCTCACATAACCGAACACCTAGACATTTGTTCATGAAATCTCGGCTTAATCAGAATTCAAAATTGCTTATCCTCTGCTCCAGAAAAAATCATGTGACCAAATGCCTAGACTTTTTGTTCTTTGAACAACACAGGAGGGAACCAGACTACATGGATGCTATCTTTATCAGTTCTTACTATGCTCTATTATTCATCTTAGTAATACATTTAACTGTGTTAACTGTGTTTTTTTATGGAGCTAGCGCCACAGGGATTGTTAACATTTTATTGTCCTGTAATTATATATACTAGCATACCATACCATGCAGTGCTATTTATTAAATAAATTAAAGGCAAAACTAAAAAGTGCAGCATGTGACATAGCAGGAAAGATGGTCCCTTTTTAAACAGGCTCCCAGCCCTAGATATAATAGTTTTTGAAGAAGCCAATAATTGGTAGATTGACAGGGAGAAGGGCTCTTGAGGATACTGAATTCCAGATGTTGGTTGTTATTGTGAAATCTTGAAGATCTGCAGGTTATGAGTGTGGAAGTAGGTTTGTGCAGGATATGATTTAGGGAGTACAGTATTTGTGCCTGAGGTCTAAAATAAAGGTAGAGAATGAGTTGAAGGCAAAACAGTACTGTAATTTTTGTCCTTTTGAAGCCAGCAAAGAGATTGGCAGGGAGGGGCAGTAGATGAAGTGTGCTGAGAAGAATACATCAGTCATGCAACACTGTTCATGTGGATTGTAGGAGTATTAATACAAAACCAGAAAGGATATTGTAGTAGTCAGTGCATTGACTAGAAGTTTGTAGTGATTCAAATTGCAAAGATGGATATTTTGGAGATCTTGCACTGGTGGGAGTGGCAGGACTTAAATATGCGATGCACGTGGGAGAGGACTCTGTCAAGGTGAACTCTATGGCAGAGAACGTGAGGGGTATGGAAAGCGGCAGTACCATTCACAGCCAGCCAGAGAGTGGTTACGTTGGGGAAAATAGATCTTGTAGAAGCAGTCCAGGAAATATGAGAATAGAGCTTTCTCTAATGTGAAATGAAGAAAAACATCAAACAGTAAAAAGATATTATTTAATATATCTCTGAGGAGGTCATTGGCCACTTATCTAAGCACGGATTCATTTACGTTTACAAAGTAAAAACCATACTAAAGGTCAAGGAGTAAATTGGATTGGAGGAATAGAGTTGGCTTCTTAGTGACATGGCATTCAAGCAGTTTAAAAATCTAAGAGAGAGAAAAATGGAGCAATAATTGCAAAGCAGACAAAAGTCTGAGGAAGATTATTTTGGTGTAGAAATTTTGATTATGTGCTTGAAGGCACAGGAGAAGACATTTGTAAATAAATAAGGGAGTGTTGACAAATTAAGTTAGTGCAGGAGGCATAGTGGTGGAGTTTACACAGAATAGGTCAAAGGGGATTAGGTTGGACAAAATGGTATTGGAGAAAAATGATGATAGAACATCGGTTATATTCACAGGGCTGAAAGCCAAGAATTCAGTTGAAAGCAGATGGGATGAACCTGAGTGATGGTAATTTGAAAAAGATGTCTTGAGATTGTATTAGTTTTTTTGTTTTGTGACAGAGCATAACAGCCCAAACTCACACATAAATGACTGCATAAGAAAAAGGATCGACTCCACCCCTTTCTATCCCCTGTTCTGCCTGCTGTGTTGAAAGGGGTCATTACCAATTCAATAAGATAGAATCTGAAGGCAAACTGTTTCTGCTATGTCCTGTCTGTAGAAAGCCTTAATTGTCCATGGATATATTCCATGGATGCATACTGTACTAAATGGGTATTTGTAAAACAAAAATTATATTTCTTTCTTGTCCAATGAAGGACACAGAAATTCAAAAACTATTGGGTCATATTAACACCTACAGGAGGATTGGACACTGGCAAATAAAACAAAGGTGGGACAGCCCTGTATAACTTCAACTCCCAACATACCGTATTTTTTGCTCCATAAGATGCACCCCCCCCCCCCCCCCACAAAATGGGGAAAAAATGTCTGTGCATCTTATGGAGCGAATATGGAGCAGCCAGACCAGTATTCCCACCTCCACAGTGTTAGAATACCGGGCCGGCCCCCTGGCTCTACTGTGCAGAAGAACCTGCTTCTCGGTCCTACCTGTTCCTTGGTCCAGCAATGTCCTGCTTTCACTGGCTGTCCTATCTCCCTGGCGCTGGCATTTTCAGTGTGGGCACCTGGCTGTGACAGCTTACGGCTTCACAGCTGGGTGCCCACTGCACATGCGCGAGACCTGTAGTCTTCTGGGACTTGTCACATATCCCACAAGACTACGGGGAGGACAACTCTGCGGCAGTGGGAGCGGGTACCTGTCAAACCCCCCTGCTCCCCAAAGGTCTGCAGTCTCTGGTCATCTCCTGTAGTACGTCCACAGTCTCTGGTCATCTCCTGTACTCTGTCCGCAGTCTCTGGTCATCTCCTGTACTCTGTCCGCAATCTCTGGTCATCTCCTGTAGTATGTCTGCAGTCTCTGGTCATCTCCTGTACTATGTCCGCAGTCTCTGGTCATCTCCTGTACTATGTCTGCAATCTCTGGTCATTTCCTGTACTCTGTTCGCAGTCTCTGGTCATCTCCTGTACTATGTCCGCAGTCTCTGGTCATCTCCTGTAGTACGTCCGCAGTCTCTGCTCATCTCCTGTACTATGTCCGCAGTCTCTGCTCATCTCCTGTACTATGTCCGCAGTCTCTGCTCATCTCCTGTACTATGTCCGCAGTCTCTGCTCATCTCCTGTACTATGTCCGCAGCCTCTGGTCATCTCCTGTACTACGTCCGCATCTCTCTGTACTCATGCTCCTCTCCTGTACTATGTCCGCAGTCTCTGCTCCTCTCCTGTACTATGTTTGCAGTCTCTGCTCCTCTCCTGTACTATGTCCGCAGTCTCTGCTTCTCTCCTGTAATATGTCCGTAGTCTCTGCTCATCTGCTGTACTATGTCCACAGTCTCTGCTCATCTCCTGTACTATGTCCACAGTCTCTGTTCATCTCCTGTACTATGTCTGCAGTCCATTGGTTCAGAATATTTTTGAAGACTATCTTTGTGAGTAGGCCATGCAGATTGAGCACCAGGAGTTACCTCACCTCACTATTAGGACCACTGGGTTTCATTTAAGATTCCTACTCTTCATAATTTTAATGCTGAGTGATTTGAGCTCTAACATGCTGGTAGTGTTTCTTGTGTGTGCATGCTTCGTGCTTTTTCTTTGCTGACATTCAGCATTGAGAAAACAACTGCCCACTGCTGCTTCTGACTGCAAGTGAAACATTAAACTGTCCTTAGTTTATCTCTGCTACCTCCCTACAATGACTTGGCTTTGGAAGTCTTCACCTGTTCCATAATGTTGCTAGCTCTATTCTGGGTGAATTTTACTGCATTTTGATTGGTTTGTGTGAAAGTTATAGCATCTACAAACGATGGCATATACAGTATACTGAAATTTGTATTTATTTATTTATTTCATACTAGTAATGGCGGTGATCAGTAACTCATTGTGGTACTGTGATAGTGTGGTGGCAATCTGACACTTGGTGGGAACTGACTGACACTGACATCTCCAGTGACACTATTACAGTGATCAGTGATAATACTATACACTGTCACTGTACTAATGACACGGGCTGGGAAGGGGTTAACATCTAGGGACAATCAAAGGGTTCACTGTGTGCCTAACAAATGCAACGTATGTAATGTAATGTGTGCTGCTTTTACTAAGCAATGTGACTGTTTTATCTTCCTGCTTTGCAGAGAGAAAAAAAACAGCCACATCTCTCTCTGTGTACAGAGCACTGTGTTGTTAGCAAATTTTAGTACAGAGGTCTGTGTTTTCTAAGTTGATCAGCAGGTCCCAGCCATAAATCATTGGACGGGACCTGCTGATTGACCTGTGCTGTATCTAATGACAGCACAGATGGGGTTGCGGGCAAGTGTGTCCTCCTACCCAGGAATGCTTTATCATGTACATGTACGTGATCCAGCACAGAGCGGCTGCCCCGCTGCAGTATATCAACATGGGCGGTCCGTTAGTACTTAACAAAACCGTCTTGGACCTTATTGAAGTGGTGCATACTGTCACGTGACCACTTCTTCCTGTGTATATATAACTGCAGGGGGGTAGTCAAGAATTGTGAATGGGCAAGTCCTGGGTTTTCTAACTTTTTTTATTTGATTGACAGCCCTGCGCTCACTCACAGGCAGAGACATACCTACTGTAAATCTGTAGGTGGAGATGCAGTTTGATGTCATCCAAGAGACTCCATAAAGACAATGGGGCTACAATAATGATATCCTCATCTCCGCACGCAGTCCAGGGATATGAGGATAAACCTCAATGTGGCATCCATTTGAGAAGCACTGAAAAAGCTGACTTACAACCCTTGTTTTATGGAAACAGGAGGATAGTGGCATAAATAGGAGGAAGTTGGAAAGGCAGCACAAGGATAACAATCCTTGCATCCATTAAAACCCATGCTTGGAGCTGGACTTTAACTTTTCTACTGCCATCGACATAAGGGTTACAGCAGAAAGAGAACCACTTACAGTTGACCAGCTCCGCAACCTCTGATGCTGCATTCCTTTAGGCTATAGACTCAGGGTCTCTTCAGCAAGCAGAAGGGTTCCCTAGACTCTGCCGATTGATGAATAGCTGTGGCTGTGATCTGCGACTTTCCATAAAAATGTGGAGCCAAATGTTTTATTTTAATAATTGTCTGTTCAGTGTATTTATTACTTATCAAGCAGGAAATATACAATAGAGTATTGTGAAAAATAAGCAAAAGCAGTTCACCTTATTTATCCCCGATGAGTGCTCTGAAACCTTTCAAAAATTGTTGTCTGCTGTATTTGTTGATTTTCTGCAATAAATTTACATGTACCTATAACATTTTTTTTTTCTTTTTGTTTGTTGAAAGGCCAGTAATCTATAGCTGGAAACTGATAGTAAATTATCAAAGAAATGATATTTATTCCACGAGCATAGAGATGTTGCAATCCAAAGTGAATGTGAAAATCTAATAAGAAAAATAAAATGAATTTAAAAAGTAAAGTCACCAATTGCCAAGCTTAAGACTACATTCACATGGACGTGTATTGGACAGCAATTAAATGCCAGTAATCTGCACTGGGCTGCACACTCCCCTTTGGAAAACGTGCCATAACAAAAGCATTTTTTTACACTCCATTTGGCACAGAACAGAGTTTTTAAAAATGCTTAAAGTGAAACATTAAAAATGAAAAATTCCTTTAAGTAGCATACCTGGAGGATCCCCTAACCCAACAGTGAAATGGTGCATGTGTACTATAAATACAACCCACAACAGCAAATAAAAAAAAAAATTGGATCAAAACCAAAAATCACAGCAATGTGAACCTAGCCTAAGTGATATTTCTGGCCACTTACTAAACCCCAAAAAATACACACCAGACCCTTATACTTGATGAGGGTCTATTATAGATGTCCAGGGGGACCCCACGCAAAATAAAAAAAACAGCTTCCCCTCAAAATCCATACCAGTCCCTTATCTGAGCATGCAGCCTGTCAGACTAGGAAAGGGAAGAGTGTTTACCTTCCCGAGCCATATCAGGCCACATGCCCTCAACCCTTATGTAGGCACCTTTTTTCCATGTTGATGAGAACAAAGGCCTCTTTCCCAGAACCCTGGCTCAGTGGATGTGGGGATCTGCCAAATCTAGGGCACATAGGTAATGCCGTTCCTCCACACTATAATATATGACATTCGACTACTGCCTAATTGGGTAAACTTCTGTCATTCAGACATGGGTACGAACAAGCGAATGTTGATCTGAACCTGTAACTCATCCCTCATAAACAGCTGCATCACACAAATGTTGTCTGATATCTCTAGTGGTTGTCTTTCACAGTCAGGTAGTGTGTGTGTATGTATGTATGTGTGTGTGTATGTATGTATATATATTCATTGTCAAAAATATTTGGTACGCCTGCATTTCTGGCAATGCACCACTTTGCAATTACAAATGTTTAGGCATTCTGGAGAAACAAAAAGCCAAATCTGACACATTCTGCGCAAAACTCCAAAAATGGACTGGAGAAAATTATTGGCACCCTCAATTTAATATTTGGTAGCACACTCCTTGAAAAAAATAACTAATCAATCGCTTCCTGTAACCATCAATGAGTTTCTTACAGCTCCCTACTGGAATTTTGGACCACTTTTCTTTCACCAACTGCTCCAGGTCTCACAGATCGGAAGGGTTCCTTTTCCCAACTGCTGTTCTGAGATCTCTCTACAGGTGCTCTATGGGATTGAGATCTGAACTCATTGCTGGCCAACTCAGTGCTCTCCAGTGCTTTGTCTTAAACCATTTCTGGGTGCTTTTTGACATGTACTTTGGATCATTGTCCTGCTGTAAGACCCATGACGTCTGACGGAGACCCAAATTTCTGACACTGGGTCTTACATTGCACTCCAGCGTTCTTTGGTAGGCTTCAGAATTCATAATGCTATGCAGATGGCCAAGACATCTAATGCATGAAACAGCAAAGCACCCCCAAAACATCAGTGGACCTCCACCATGTTTGACTGTAGGGACTGTATTCTTTTCTTTAAAGGCCTCATTGCTTTTTCTGAAAACAGTAGAATGATGGGCTTTACCAAAAAGCTATCATTTTGTTTTGTCTGTCCAGAGCACATTCTTCCAAAAGGTTTTTGGCTTCGTCAGGTGAGTTTTGGCAAACTCCAATCTGTTTTTTTTTTATGTTTCTGTGTCAGCAGTGGGGTCCTCCTGGGTCTCTTACCATAGTATCACTTTTAATTCAGATGGCGATGTATAGTGCGAGCTGACACAGTTGTACCCTGTACTGAAGGTCAGCTTGAATTTGTCTGGAAGTTGATCGAGGATCTTTAGCCACCATTGCGATCTTTGATCAATTATTCGCTTTGGTCCACATCCAGGGAGATTAGCTACAATGGCACACAGAGACACACAACATTTTAACTGAATGCCACTGTGATATCTATACTGTCATCACCTGCTAATTGATACAGGTTTGAGTACAAGTTTGATTACAAATTACAGGAGCATTGCAAACTTGGAATGCAATTATTTCTTACAAATTTCAAGAAGGTGCCAATAATTTTGTCCAGTCCATTTTTGGAGTTTTGAATGAAATGTGTCAGATTTGGATTTCTGTTTCTCTTTTGTGTCATACCAATACAAACAAAAGAAATAATATATCTCACACCCCTCATTTTTTTGTAAATATTTTATTATATCTTTTCATGTGACAACACTTAAGAAATGACACTTTGCTACAATGTAAAGCAGTGAGTGTACAGCTTGTATAACAGTGTAAATTTGCTGTCCCCCCCCCAAAATAACTCAACACACAGCCATTAATGTCTAAACTGGTGGCAACAAAAGTGAGTACACCCCTAAGTGCAAATGTCCAAATTGGGCCCAATTAGCCATTTTCCCTCCCCGGTGTCATGTGACTCATTAGTGTTACAAGGTCTCAGGTGTAAATGGGGAGCAGGTGTGTTAAATTTGGTGTTATCACACTCACTTTCTCATACTGGTCACTGGAAGTTCAACATGGCACCTCATGGCAAAGAACGCTCTGAGGATCTGAAAAAAAGAATTGTTACTCTACATAAAGTTGGCCTAGGCTACAAGAAGATTGCCAAGACCCTGAAACTGGGCTGCAGCACGGTGGCCAAGACTATACAGCGGTTTAACAGGACAGGTTTCACTCAGAACAGGCCTCACCATGGTCAACCGAAGGAGTTGGTCAGAAACCAGTCTTTGAGCCTTGGTTTTTTATTTTTTGAGGAGATTAGAACTTGGATAGGGTAAGGGGGATACAGAATGCCCAAGGGAACCGATAACTGAGGACGACTTCCTGGAACTATTCACTAGCTT